ATCGGGACTGTGCCTTTTTACTTGTTAACCTTGGGCTTGTCAGTCTCAGTGGCCAGCAGCTGTCTGGGTTAAGAAAAGCCTCTAGCTTCAGTGGGCCAGGAGCAGGAGGCAGAGCTGAAGCCCAAAGTTGAGGGGCTTTCACCCAGCCCCTGGAGCCTGTGGCTCTTTGAACTCAAGACTTCTAGCCCCTCAAACTATAAGAGAATAAACTCCTGTTTGTTAAGGCCATTCCATTTGTGGGATATTCTTGTCAGAGTGGCACTAGGGAACCAGAACATCCCCCACATAAACACCACGCACCACCCCCACAGAAACATCGCATGTACATACACCCCCCCCACAGAAATACAGCACACACACACATACACCACACACACACACACCCCTCACGTAAACATTCCCCACACAACCACCACACACACAACTCTCATGTAAACATCCCCCACACAAACAACATGCACACACAAACACCATACCCTCCCCTACATAAACATATCCCATGTGTCACATAAACACCCTGCACATAGACACTACACACACACATCCCATATAAACATCACCCTCCAAGCACCGCACTGATGCCCACATACCCCCCTATAAACACCCAACACTCCCTACATCTCTCATACTTCCAGCTCCGACTGGTAATGGAAGGGTATGGACACTAGTCACACCAAGTCCCCATGTGGTTGGTTGGTTCTACAAATGAGCTCTCGCTAGTGGAATGTGAGACCGTGTCTGAGAAGATTCCAGATCTAGGACTATCCCTGAAAACCAGCAGGACCTTGGTGAGGGAGGAAAGTGGAGACCCTGGGGCCCCTTCCCCACTGGAAGGGACTTAGTCAGGGGCCACGCTGTGTACACCTGCCGTCCTGCCTGTCTCAGGTCCATCAATAAGTAACTGGCATGCCCAAGGAAGTGTGGCTGCCTCCCCACCCCGTGGTTCTTGATCCCTACAGCCTGCTACCTGAGCTCCAATCTCCTCATTTGTGAAGGGGGGAAGCTGTGGATGAGGGAACATGTAGGTGCAGACGCTGCGCTTCCCACCAGTGCCCTGAGGTGAGGTCTGGCCTCTCAGCCCCTGTGGGCCTCA